GGGGGCATTTTGACTGTCTGGGAGCTAATTTATTTATTTATTTACACGAGAAGGTGAAATGCTAAGCTAGCATTTTATGCTAGCAAGTTCTGTTTATAGGTTGTATAGTTGTGCACTTTAAGATGTTTTTTAGTGCTGAATTAGAAATAAAATATAACAATTTGACTCAAAAGCTCAACAGACTGTTAGGACAACTATCTACAGAGCCAGCTGTATTATTGGTCAGATAACTTCACACCTTTTCAGTTCAGTGAATAACATTAGCTGAGGTGAAGCTCAGCTAACAGATGCTAACAGATTGTCATGGACAAACCTTTAGCTATGTTCACATTGTCACTACCCGATCCGTACCGGAAACCCGATCGGTACCCCGCATGCGCATCTTAACTCTTACTCTGACCCATAACTATCGTAAAACGCTTCGACCGGAAGTAGAAACCTTTCGCGCATGCGGGGTACCGATCGGGTTTCCGGTACGGATCGGGTAGTGACACACGTGACGTCAGTGTGTTTTGGACACAACCTCTAGTGGATATTTGTGGAACTGCAGTTTTTGGCACTTAGCCTTGTTTTGATTTTTCAATCCAGGAAGTGGCACCCTGTTAGTTTTTACTCTGAGCTAAACGAACTGGCTGCATATTTATCCTACAGACCTGAACACCATCAGAGAGAAAGTTAATATGAACGTTTTTTCATGAAAGTATTTCTTTTTTTGGCTTTTAAAAAAAAGTCTAAATTTTCTCCTCTCTCTTTCCGGCCTTTTTTTCCTCAGTTGGAGGCGGAGTTAGCACTGTGCGAGAGGGAGGGGGCGGAGCTCCAGGAGTACGCCAATCAAGTCCTGCAGCAGATCGCCGACCGATGCCCTGACATTTTAGAGCAAGTTGTCAACGCCTTGGAGGACAGCTGCTGACACACTAATGCACACACTGGCAGAAAATGATTTTTTTTTAAAAAAAAAGCTTACATTCAAACATTTAGTCGTATTTAAAGTCAGAAGGCAAACATTTAACACAGCTTGGCCCCATAATTCCCCGATGCACAAATAAAATTAGTGCTGCACATGAATAGGAATACGTTCCCAGCCTTCAAAGAAAAGGGGAACTAAGACAAAAAATCAAATTATTACTGAAAACTGGGCTTTAGTTGCTTTAATTTTCTGTTTAGAGCACTATATCAGCATGCAAGTCAGCTAGAAATAATTGATAATCTACATTTATTTACATTACTACCCCAACACAGAAAGAGCCCTTACTGCACTGGCCATACGCGACACCTTATAGTGAGCTTCCCATGTCCTGGGATTCAACGGGAGGATTTGTATTCGTGACTTGGGGCAAAAAGTCTTTTCAAACCTTAACAAAAAGTTGAACATAAGCTGAGCTTGCCAGGTTCTTACACGCTGTTGCCACATTATTGTATTAGTTCAGATTCAAAAATATGTTTATTTCAACTGCCTTTGGCTCTTTACATCATTTGCTGCTATCTTTGTAATTTTTAGGTTCCTTTTTTTTCCACTTTCTTTGTTTTTGTCTGATGAAATGTCCTAACATGCAGTTTCTTTCAGCAGTATTCTCTAGATAGTTGTGTAAATTGTAAAGGGAGCGGTTTAATTAACACATACACAACTTTCGTCAGGGGTAACATGACACTTTAATCTATTGTTTCCCATTATTGATGAAAGGTACAAACTACAGTAAATAACTCGCAAAACTCCCTTTATGAAGACACACTGGCATGGATGGTCTGACTTTCTGTTTCACCACAGAAAATCACACGTCTCCTTCATTTATGGCGCCCATGCCAAAATTAGGTTCAGATAAGAAAACCCCTTTTATGACAATCCCTTTAGCGTTAACATGAGGTGTCAAGTCTGAACTTTACTCATTTACCTTTAGTGAAACGTCTTTTTTTCTTTGTTTTGGGAGGGGAGAAAATATAAAGTAAATGTTATATATATTTTTTTGCTTTTGGTAATATATATTAAACACTAATCTTGTTTAACTGAAAGTGTCGTCATCTGTTGGTTGGTATGCTAGCATATGGTAATGCGTCAAAGTCTTTTCGTTTTTTTTCCCCTTGGACACTGTTATTGGGAACGTGTATTGCACCTACAGAAGGCTTTGTGTCCACCGGGAATGTTTTCTCAGACTCAGTTTCTTGTTCTTGTTGTCTACAGTGGAAATGACACTGCATGTCTCCCACAGCGCTGACAGCCTTAGCATGATTTAAACTTTTACGGCAGTGAGCACTAGAGGTTCAAATTGTTTCAGCTTGAAGCAAAATTTCCTTCCCCCCCCCCCCATCCCTTATACTGTATTGAGTGATGAGGCCATGACGGGAACTGTTTAGCGCTGCTTCCTGGTAAGAAACACCTGGTGGACACAAAATCTAAAGACACAGATTCACATTACGCTCTCCAATCTGACTGGGGACGCTCATGAGAAAAAAGGAAAAAACAGCTTTTGTTTGTTGGCACCTGAGCAGCGTTTTAAAAAGCTTAAAGTCACAGGGGTGCAAACGAGAAGCTTCATTTCAAAGATACCTGAAATCTCACACTGCTTTGGGTTGAAGGTTCCTCAGATGTCTTTTTTTTTGTGGTTGTGTTTTAAGAGGGGACCCCAGCAGATCTGAGTGTGTTGTAAGTTCAGTATTTGTTGTCTGTTTTATACTGATAATGTTTGTCACTGGGGGTGATGATGACTGGGACTCACTTTAAATTTCTTGTGGATTAAAAATCAGAATGAGAGAGAATGTAATAAAATATGGATTTATCTTTATTTCTCATGTCATGCCTGTTATTTTCTCTGGTTTGTTCGCTGTCAGATTCTCTGGGATATGTGACAAGTGAAACGAAGAAAACGCTGCTTGATTGTGCCCCCTGATCAATTTTAATCAAATGTAAAAAGTATCCTGTGTTCTAGGGCTGTTCGATATAACGATATATATCGGATGACGATATAAAAATGTCTATCGTTTCATTTTACGCTATCGTTTGTTTCATGGTGTATAAACTGTTTACAGCAATATTTTTTCATCGTTTTGATGGTCACTGTAGTGGCTATATTAATTTCTTAAAGTTCTCCCTTTCTCTTATATTTTATATAACCACACTACAGACAGACAAGCGCCTGTTTTTATGCGTTGTGGTTAGCAACAACGACGGTAACACCATCGCGTGTCCGCTTGTTTATGTTCCACATAAAGCTTTCACAATAAAGCTCAAGATCCTGTTGAGACTTTTCAAAATAAACTGAATCACGTGAAAGAGCAGATTATTTACGGATGAGAAGTAAAAAAGAGCCGTCAGGTGCTAAAAAATAAACCTTAGAGTCAAACGTTAGAACAGGCTTTTCCCCGCAGCTCGCCGTGTAATAAATACTCACAAAGAAAACGGCGGCCGTTACAACTTATGTCTAAAAATGTATAGTTTCATGCATCGGTTAAAACACTCGACTCCAGCTACATGACGCGCAGCTGGAAACACTTCCCGCAAGTCGAGCTGCCTGAGATTCACAGAATTTACAGAAAATGTTACATTTTTGTGATTTATATCGTTATCGGACGATAGAATTCTTATATCGGGATATGAGATTTTGGTCATTTCGCACAGTCCTACTGTGTTCCACTACTATAAAAAACTCATAAAAGCTAACTTTCTTTCACAGCAGCTAGCGAGCATACTTAGGTAGATCTGTCCTTTTTTTCTGACTTCAGCTTTCCATTCCCTTTGCCTCCTTCATTCTGCCGTGTTTTTCATGTGTACACTGAACTATTTCTCTTATCTTGTGTTTCATTTTCCTATCCGCCCACAATAATGACAATATTCCATCCCCCAGTCCTCTTTATCTAAACCAGTATCCTTCAGAACAGCCTCTCTACCACACAGTTTCATGCGTTTTAAATTGTCCCCAATGCCCTAAGCTTGTTTTAGATCAACACATGAAATAAACTAAATTTTGATTTGATTTGTTTGAACTACATTTTCATACTAGAAGAGAATGGTTAGTCTGCTAATAGGAAGGCAACAGTAACTCAAGTAACCACTTCTTAAAACCAAGGTATGCAGAGGAGCTTCTCTGACCACACAACACATTGAACGTTGAAGCAGATGGGCTACAGCAGCAGAAGACCACACTGAGTGTCAGAACAGGAAATTGAGGCTATAAATTTATACAGACTCACCAAAAGTTGGACAGTAGAAGATTAAAAATAACATTGACTCGCTTGATGAGTCTCCATTTCTGCTGCAACGTTTGGAAGGTGGGGGTCCGAATTTGGAATTCTGCCTTGTATCAACGGCTCAGCCTCGTGTTGATGGTGTATTAATCTGTAACTTTTGGCCTCTAAATAGCAACTGAGTACAGTATAAATGTCAAAGCTTACCTGAGTATTACTGCTGACCATGTCCGTCCCTTCGTGACCACGTTACATCCATCTTCTGATGGTTAATGCTACATATCACAAAGCTCAAATCATCAACTGGTTTCTTGAACTTGACAGTTCGTTGTACTCAAATGACCTCCACAGTCACCAGATTACCAAGAATATTTCCAGCACCTTGTTGAATCTGCGCCATAAAGAAACAAAGCAGTTCTGAATTAGGACTGTGCGATATGACCAAAATCTCATATCACGATATAGGACATTTCTCATCCCGATAATGATATATATCACAAAATAGTGCTTTTTCTGTAAATTCTGTGAATCTTGGGAAACTCTACTTGTGTGAGGTGTTTTCAGCTGGGCGTCATGTACCTAGAGTCCGATGCATGAAACTATATAACTCTTTCCATACTCTTTCACGTGATTCTTGCGTAGGTGGTAGAAGAGGTTTGTCATGTTTGAGTCTGTGGTGGGGACCGGTTTGCAGCATAATTTGCATAGTACAGTTTTCTGGTTTGTGTCACACTTTTTATAACCAAACCAAGTCCATGCTACAAAGGTAGCCCCTCGTTTAGGAATAAGGCCCTTGATTTGTTTTGACTGGTCCTTCTGTTTGCAGCTACCTGGTTCTTCCTCATCTTCACTGGCTATGCTGGTATTCTCTGTGCCCTGATGCAAAAATATTGCTGTAAACAGTGTATTTTGCGACACCACGAAACAAACCATAGCGTATAATTTGAAACGATGTTTTCATTTTGTCATCGGATATATTTCGTCATATCGCACAGCCCTATTCTGAATGTAAAGGGAGATCCAACCTAGTACTACTAAGGTATACCTAATAAAGTGTCCGGTAAGTGTATATGAGTAATTGTAGCTAATTTTCTGAAAATGACACAGTAGTTAAATTTAAACTAACACAAAAAGATGACTCAGATGTTTAAAGGAGTTGTTAGACTCATTCGGCTGGAAAATTTGGTTTAACAGACCCGCCCAGCTCGCCTGACCTTGAACCTCGACCCTCACCTGACATTTGCCCTCACTTGTGAAGAATTTCCATTTAGGGATCAAAGCACCATCCTGTTATTATGGCCATTCTGGTTTTCACACAACACTCAGAGAACCAACTCCTGGCAGTCTGTAAATGTAGCATACATGCTGGTGCTTAGCTTCACATAAGGCAACGCTTTGTACGTGTGTCAGTGTGTGTCGAGGATCTGCTCTGCTTTCTCTATCTACTGTCCCAATAAAAGCCAGTGAAGGGAGGCAGGAGGGATGGACAGAGCGAGAAAGAGGAGGAGAAAGAGATACGCCTTTGTGACTCCCTGATTTATGTGATGGAGAAAAAGAGGAAGGGGGAGGGAGGTAGAAATGAGTGGAAACATGGCCCATTGAACACTTCATCCCATCTCTTCTACAGCTCTAACTTTGCACAATGTACTTCTACCTGCCCTGTGCACAAAAGTGCATGTCTAAACATCAGAAATATGCACTAAAGAAGGATATATTTTTATATTAAAGTTGTCTAAATGTTCACTTTTCAAATATAGATATTAAGATTATTTTCAAAAGGCTTGCATGTGATATTCCTCACTTGAGGAAAAAGAAAAGCTGCAATCATTATGATTCCACATCATTTTACTTTTAAGGAACAATTACAGCTACATTCACCTGCAAGTTCGCATAAGTCTAAATCTGTGCTCCAGTCCAACAAATCTGTGCTCTTTAAATATGCGCATGTGTGCATTCAGGCTGGAAAACTGAGGCTGTGCGCGACAGAAAGCACAAGCATCACAGGAAACACAATGCTCCAAGTACTTCAACACTAAATGCTAAATCCCCTTGATTCTTGACTGCTGCTCATGTGCAGTATTGTCCCACATTGCCACGGACAAAGGAATCTGGAGAGCTGTTAAAGCTGGCAAAGAAAGAAAAACAAACTGTGAAACAGCTCCAGAAAAGCAGAGCAGAGCACAGGGCCAATCCCACACAACCAGGGGTGAACCCTTCAGAGGCCTAAAGACAAATCATAGAAATGGAGTTGCATTCATTAACTACAGTTACTCTGGCAGAATCATTCTCTACAGACCTCACAGTGTACTTTCACATGACAGGTATGCTTATGTGTGCAAGTGATAAGACCGACTAACCATAAACAGTTGATGATTTGTCCTTCAGCAATTTAAAAATGTTAACATTTTGTTTCTGTGCCACTGCAATGATGTTAATGATCTCAGCCAGGCTAACTCTGTAACAAAACAGGTTTTGCCAGTCCATACGTCAAGTTATATAAAGAAAAAATAACAATCACAACATTCTAGTTCAAAATCTGTATAAAGTGGCGGTAAATTGTATTTGATATACAATCCTATGAAAAACTAAGTTCACTCTTACTGCTTCCATAGGACTTAAGATAGTAAGCAGCAGCCTGGTGCTGCTAATCAAATACAATTTAACTGATCGTTTGCAAGTGTGAGCACCTCTATAAAAGCAGAAGTGTTGTTCTGGATCATTCACTCAACATAATGCCTCAATATTCACCAGGAGTGGATATTTCAGCAAATTCATCCCAATGATCCGAGAAAGTACAAAAACCCTAAGAGCTACTTCTCAGACTCTACAGGCCTCGGTTAGCATGTTAGTTAAAAGTTAGAAAAAGGCTGGACAAGTTTTGCTTGTTTGGAGGGTTGCCAGAAAAAGCATCCTGTCTCTGAAAACTACATGTGGCACAGCTTAACTTTGCAAAGCGGCATTTGAAAAAGCCACAACACTTCTGGAACAATGTGGTTCACATGTCAGTTGAAGAAATGAGACCAAAGTGGAGCTGTTTGGTTATGGTACACAGCTTCACATTTGGTGGAAACCAAACACAGCATACCAACTCATCACTTCATACCAACTGTTAAGCACGGTGGTGGAGGGGTGATGATTTGGGCTTGTTCTGCAGCCTCTGAGTCAGCCATCGGTGCACCTGTGAGGACATCTCTCTGACAGCTAAAGCTTGGCTGACACTGGGTCATGAAACAGGACATTGGCCCAAACTGTGCATATGGACTAATGGTCTATATAGATTTGAGCAGATGAGGCTCAATGACCAACCACAAATTTTGTCACAAGGGTAACTCTGCATGTTTTACACCCGCTGCTTTTCCTGATGCAATCCTAAAGTTCTGTCCAGCTGGAATCAAACGACCGACCTTTCACCTCACCAAGCAAATGTTGTAACCATGGAAACACCAGCAGAACAAAAGGCTGAAAAAGAAAAGAATTAAGGTATTGTAATGGGCCAAAGTCAAGACCTCTGCCCAACTTGAAGTCCTGTGGTGTGGCTGTGCAATCGATTGCTTGCAAACCTCAATGAACTAAAGAAAACCTTGTAAAGAAGAGTGGACCA